TCACAATCCTGGCAATTTTTGTAGCCAACAATAGGAACAGTTTTCTTTTCACAAACACGACTAAGATCCCATTCTACTACTGCAATGCTTCATTAATTTTCATTATTTTTTTTTTTTATTTCGGACAGCAATCTTTACCCTACCATGGTTTAATTTTTTTCTGAAAAACAGGTATTTGATCCCCGCCCAGCACTGAAAACACCAAGAACCAGAGGAAGTTTATTCACAACCACGGTGCCATATTCATAATTGTTAAAAAATCGTTGTAGTACATGTGGACAATTCTGCAGTAACGTGGGCACATTTTGGCCGTTACATAATGTTGAGGTTACTAAGGCATTATACGTTTGATTAACAGTGTCTTTTGTAGATTTACATCTTTCCCCTTTTTCGAATGAACACACGATAAATGTTATTAAAAGTTTGCTATATGCATTTTACGTAATGCATTTGTAATGTCTTTCCTTTCCCAGAAGTCAACATTTAAAATGAATAAGAGTACGTACATCTTCAAGTTCACATCGAGGTGTCAAGTTGCAGATTTGCCCACACATAATTTTCAGTGACAAATAGAAAACATATTTCTTCTTGGAAATTAATATATGACAACTTTAAAACAATCACTTTATCAATTTTATACATTTATCATTTTTATACAGACATTATTTCTGTTAAATGATAACTTCAGATCTAACGTTTCAGGTTCGGAAAGGGACGGGTATCAACCCCGACACAAAAGTATACATAAATTACCCCTATAACACCATGATCAGATAGAGCACTATACTACGACACAGTAACATACAATTACCAAAAGAAGCAAACCAGCAACATGCAGGGCGGACGCTTAGTATGGATTTAATTTCTATGAGAAGTTTCATAAATAAAAGGCTTATCTTATTCGACTTTTAATTTTATATACGTTTTGGAGCAGAATTTTACAACCAAAGGCAAACATAACATTCCGTACTGAATGTCGTCCCTGCAAATCAACAAGCAGACAAGCGTCGGCATAGGAAGCAATCTTGGCATGGGCGTAGGTCTGTGTATGTCGAACACAAAACGTGTCTCTGAGTAGGACGCTTCTGATATCTTCGTTAACGGTTGTTAGTGTCACTGGAATTAAAGGAATAAATTCACATTCCTGACACAATGTCTAAAGATCTGATAAAACAGCAATTCGTGTCAGTATATCCTTTGCAATAGAATTAACAAATCGCAATTAAGCTTTAAAATGATACAAGTATATATATTTATATTTTAATAAAATATTTTATTAAGATATTGAACCCTCATGGAAAGTTAATGGAATTAGAAACAAAAGGGTGCCCAAAAGACACTGAGGAAAAGCTAAGAGAAAGTATCCTTCACGTCAGTTGGATGTCCGCATGGTCAGTATGTCTAAAGTGCACCATTTCGGGAATATATCGTCAATGCAAAACTGAGAAGTGCAAACATTCATTTTCTATCATCTGTACGGAACTTACGAGAACCTGCTGCCGGTTTCAGTGCCATCTTTTCAGCCTACATGGGGCAGTAAGAGTAATATGGCCTGGGGGAACCTTTCTTCTCCGTCTTCTACTGACCTTGTTCCTATCTGAGCACCTCTCGCCAAAACGCTCACCTTATTTACATGATGATGAAGAGGCCACCCACTTTCCGTGCAGACGATTCGGTTTAAATCATAGTTTGTTTTTTGAGAAGGCACAATAAGGGCGTATTCCCAGACATTTAGATCGATCTGTCCCCGTGGGGAGTCTCACTTGATTACTGTCAGATAATCCGGCTTAAATGTCCGTCCCGCCGTCTACAAGCTGTAAGGGGGTAATTAACTTTCGTGCCCGCTCGTCTGACAGCTATTTAGCGTGAACCCCCAGGGAGTTAGGTCGATCTAGTTTGGATCGATCTAATCTCTGGGAATGCCATGGGGTCTAAGTCTCCATCTCGAAAAAGAGGATTAGGGGGTTGATAAAGTCATAATGACACACACACACAACAACAAACAAATAAATAAAAATAAAAACGCGTTTTCAAAGACAACATACTTGATAATTAATGCGTGACTGGGCATACAAATCAGCTTTCGTAGGTCGATGAACGAACTATGTGATAAACACTAAACACGACTGACCAATGGACATTGTTATATTGACCTCAGACCAATGATATTTATAAGACATATTTACAAAGATGTCTTTGCGGATAGAAAAAAATATAAAATTGCGTCTGAATAACAAAAAAAAAAAAAAAAAAGAAAAATTAGTGGGACATTCAGAGTTAAGAAGCTGATCTGCTTTTTTGTAAATATAAAAATAAAATGCTTCCATTCTTCTTCCATTTTGTGGCAGCTCTTTAGCTGATTTGAAATCACTTGTATAGCACAGCAAAACAGCATTTATTTTCATTGAAAGACTGCTTATGCATCTAGCACAGTTTTCAGAAATAAAAAAAAATTTTTTTTCAAAATTTAATTTTTTATATAATTTATTATAACATAAATTCAAAATTAAAAGAAGCAATTTAAACACTTAATGTCTCACATCTATAAATTGTTACAAGTACAAGTACAATTTGCATTTGTATTGTTAAAACAATAAAGCCTTACCGTTGGCATCGTTACTAATATCATATCAAAATGAAATATTAAAAGATTTAGTTTCATCCATCTCCTCACAAGATAGGGAAATGAGCTCACTTTTGCTCTAATTTTTAAAACTTTTCATCACCTATGTTATATATTTTACGAGCATATTTTAGACGAAGCAAGTCGAGAAATGAAGTTACTCCATTCACATACACATGTATTATTTTAGTGAACTGCATGTAAAAGGGACAAAATACCAGCTTTATCAATCTATTCAACTTACTTTCAGCTTAATAGTTCAACCTCTTTGTTCTACAGACAATGCATTTCTTCCTGTTAACTTTGAACAGAATTATTTGTCAGTATTTGATATACTGCTGAAAACAATTATAAAATTTCATAACAAAATTTACATGCTTAAAAACAAGACTTAAATGTAAAATTAATAATAATGCAAATACTCAAAACAAATAAATTGTTTCATGGCACTTAACAAATAGGCATATAACCTAAATGAATAATTCAAGTCAGTCTATGAATTGAAGCAACAGCCTTAAAATATTTTTCTGCAAATTATACTGGATATAGTTAGGAATTTATATTGCACATACAAAAAAATCTGAAGATCTTTCCTTCCAGCTGGGCTGAAATCAAGAGATGTGACACTTCCTTTTTCTTTTCAAAATTTCAAAGAGCAAAATGCAGATTCCCTCCTTACTTGTCTGCAAAATATTTTGTACCACTTCCTTTCAATCATAAAATTAAGAGATAACAACTGTTCATTTTGGCAAAAAAAAAAAAAAAAAAAAAAAGAAAAAAAAAATATTTTACTGGGGTAAAGGACAATTTTCCTACACTAACCAATGGTAAATGAATCCAGTCTGACATTCAAAGTTAGTCCCTGTTTTTTTTTCTAAAAAGTTTGGTTTTTTATAATATTCTCTTAAGAGATTATTACCGTAACAGAGCTTAGCCATCTATGGAGGTCACGTGATGTGATGGCAAGCACAAATTCCAAAATAACTGTGTTAACTGCTATTCTGTTTGTAAAGCAGAATTTTTTATATTTTTGTGAGTTGTTTACAATGTATTTATTGTGAAATATGGATATTATAAGAACAGTGGTTATCCCTTTATATTAAAAATAAAATTCAACAAAAAACCCCAGCTATTGATGATACCATTTGCTAATACTTTTCTATCAAATTAAGGTGATAGCCAATTCAACACATCACAAAAAAAGTCAATTGTTGCTCATAGTGAATATAAAAAAATTGCGATAAAAAATATGAGATCAAATGTATTCCATGGATGTTAAAAATACAGATTAATGCATTTTTTCATTTAAGAACGTTAATTTCTATAAATTAATATGATTCAGTATGTTTTCATATTAAACATTTCCTCAACATCTCTACTTTATAGTTTACCATACAACTGCAGTTCCCAATAATAAACCTTTCATGTTCACTTTTTCAGAATCCGCTTAGATTTCTTATTCCAGACATGAGCCTTGGTTTCAAAAAAATCTCTGAATATTTATCGAATCTCATACAAGACAAATCTCAGGAACCATCAAAATTAAATTAAAAAAATGTGGAATTCCGTGTTTACGTGGATCATGTGCTATTCCTTATAACTGATAAATTACAATGTGTTAGGTTACACCAACAGGGTCATTTCTGGCCTTTAAAAAATCAACCTCCATACCATTTATAGTTTCTTTGCTCATGAAAAGTCTTGCCCTACATCTGTCATTTGCATATTAAAATACTCACAACTGTCAACTTTTCAGGCTCTAATGTCTGGTAAGCAATATTGTTTAAAAAGATTTTGCATAGTTCACAAGAAGTACATAATTCTCCCTTCTCTTGAAATAAGTGGACAATGAAGAAAAGAGCACTTTACTTTAAAAAACTAAAAATTACACAGTATAAAGGTGAAGAATGAGAATCACATTCCACTACTAGAAAAGCACTCCGAGAATGCAGACCCCAGCCAAGGCAGCGATTTTTGAGTATCATTGATTATTGATTACTTATTGATCTGGATCACCACCAAAAACTAATCATCTGTTCCTTGGCCCACTTCTGACAGTTCCTGAACATTTCATCAAAATTGGTCCGTAACTTTTTGAGTTATGTCGATGACAGACAGAAAAACAGGGCTGAAAACGTGGCGGAGGTAATAATAACTTTTCTAAAATATTGCAAATCTGAAAAATATTTTTTGGGGTTTTGATAAATCATATCAAAATGGTAATGAAAAAAATTGATTTTTATGAAAACTTGAAACAAAGTCTTCACAAAGGCTTGGAATCCATAAAAAAACAAAACAATTATCTTAAAGTACACTTTCTCTTTTTCCCTCTCCTTAATTAAAAATATTTCAGTTTTGATTTTTTTAAACAAATTATCTACAACCACATGCTCATTTTTATGGCTTTGCTATCCAGAAGTTGCAGGACATTCTCCAGAACCCTGAGTTTCACAGGCTGAAAGCTATTACCAGCATTATACACCCTGTAAATCTGGTAATTTTTTTTCAACTTCTGTGCAGCCTTAAGCTCTTGGGACGAGATCTCAAACATGTCTTTATTTTCTGCAAAAGTACTTTTCACCTCAATAAAGACCTGCTTTTCTTCAGCAATCCACTCAATACAGAAATCAAAAGGCTTCCCAGATTCTTGTTTCTCATTCACCCAATGGATAACAAGGTATTTCTTCTCTATCTGCTCCCTGAACTTGGCCTGCAAGAAACTGTTCACCCACTTCTCTCCCCATTCCCCGATATGCTTCTTATCGCCGACAAGAACCTCAGCAACTGGAGGAAGTGCAGTCTCTATATTAATACCAGTGGTGTCTTCATATTGCACTTGTTCTATGCTGTCTCCGGGGCCAAATAGTGCAGGCCCCAGAGACCGTGGTGGTGAGGAAAACAGAGAAAATAAATCCGATTCTCCACCACGGGATCCCATGTCTTGACTCCCCTGCTGATGATGGTGTGAAGGGTCTACTTGTGGACCAGGAACACTGAAACCAAACTGAGAGGGTACACCAAACTGAGGGAGGGCTTGGTGCTGCACTGTTGGAACACTGTCAGGAACATGCTGGGTTTGTTCTGGTCTTTGGTTGACAACTGAAAAATGAAGGTCGTATTCATGTGCATGGTGCATGTTTCAGCCATTTATAAGCACATCTTTCATACTTATTTTCAAAGATTTGCTGAAAAAGTTCAGTTCCCATTACAAATCTCATCAATTATATGGAGTTGAACTACAGACAGTCATAGAGAACTTTAGTTATTCCCATTAGAACTATTTCAATGTACAGAGAAAAAAAATTACATTACAGACCACAACCAGTTATGCAACCATATCTCAAAAGGCTGATACGAAAGGAAAAAAAATGCACACTTATCAGAATCAAAATGCATTTACTGCATTGCAATTTTAATCTCTGATACCTTGTCCTGTCTTGTCAACAGGTCTTCCAACAGAGCCATCTTCAGTTGTGCTGCTACTCTGCCCTTGGTCTATTGGGGCATCTCTGCTGTCTGCCTTCGTCACTTGATTCTGTCCACTAGATGGCTGTATTTGAGGCAAGACAGGACTAGTTCCCACCTGACTGAAAGGACCATGGTCTTTCTGTGCTCTTTGAGATGCATGGTTATCTCCATCTTTTACATGTAAGTGCAATGGCTCAGAAATTGGAGCGCTGCCCGTTGAAGGCTTGCCTGTAGCTTGTGGTTGGGATCTTTCTGAAACTGCCAATAATTTTTTTTTTAATTTTTTTTCATGGACTTACCAGTAGTTTATGTTTTTAAGCTATATATAACTGTTCACAACAAATATTATGCTTGTCAATGACTGAGCTCATGCTGATACCAGTCTCCAAATTTACCATGACATGAAATGTATTTTAATAAAAAAAATTGCTCTCTGACTTAGTAAATGACTGATGCTGTTTTACTCAAGTCCATACTGCAATATGTTTTCATATAAAAATAAAGTCTTTAAATGTTGTAATACAAACCCGAATCAGTTGGTGGACCCATTTTTTCCTTTGGTGGTGGGGGTGGCCAGGATGTAAGTTCTCCTGCCTCTGGAGGGTTCTTTTTCTTCTTTGCTTTCTCATCTTTCTCAGTCCAGTTAAGGTCATCAAGAGGATGCTCCTTAGATTCTGATGACAGATCAAAACATTTGGTTGATCAAAAAATCTTTCAGAAATATCAAATAATATTCATTTGTCAAACTTAAGTATGAAAACTAAATTGTCATTGAAATCACAAGTACTGATATATCCTGATTTTGCAATTATGATCAAAACTAACTTGGCCTGGCACATTATAAAATTGACACTGACTTGACTCAACTCCTTAAAACTAGTAAAAGTTTTGGCCTGACTAGCTGCAGGGAAGTATTTGAGCAATTATGTGTCCTCTTGACATTCACTTAACAGATATTTGCCAAATGAAAATCCTGCCAAAAAGCAAAAACAGCAGAAAACTACAGAATAAAACTACGAAAATCCACATACTTTCAACCAAAATAATCAACCCAGGACCATTTACAAAACTGTCTGATATTTCAACTCCACACAAGTAAGACACTGTCAGAGTGTAAAGAGACTAATAATGGCAAAATGCTCAAGCTTCTACTACATTGTACCAATTCTTATTCACAAGTGTCCATTCTTACCAGTCTTTTGAGAGGGTCTTATTAACAGCTGGTCAGGTTCTGGCACCGCCCATCTTTCCTCCTCTTCAGGCAAAGCCTTCATCTTCTGTTCTCTCTGGAAGTCTGCATCTGTCATCCCACCATCTGGCTTCTGGATGTGCATCCTCAAAACCTGCAGAAAATTCAGGAGCCCAGTCTCCAAATCTTGTGCAGAAGCTGGAAGGAAAATCTTCACCAGCTCCTTGTCCATATCTCTGTAGGATTTGACGCTGTCCTTGTGGACATAAAACTCACGCTCGTTCTGCAAGATGCACTTTTCTTGCACGGTCACATTAACACGTGGCTTGTCTCTCAGTCTGTACACAACATCCAGCTTACTGCTCTGGTAAAACAAAAGAAGTTTCAAGACAGCAGACACCTTCTTTTCTTGCAGTTTCTTGTACACAGTGGGGTGAAAGGAAAACAAAAACTGTTGTATATAAGGCACCACTTTATGAATATATTGCTGAACTTCTGGGCTTGGGCGTGTGCTCTCTGGGACCACCTCCTGTTCTACGCCCTCGGAAAGAGTTTTGATTCCAACAGCCTTGAAGAAAAATTCTGCCCTTGACCTCAATTCAGTAACTTGGTCCTCAGAACTAGACTGCTGAATACCTGTAAAACATTCAGATATCACAGCATGTTAATATTTATAGTTTATCTTTTACTATGAGACAAATCTAAAATAAAGGGTCCTGTCACACAGAAGTACTAAAATAAAGGTATAATAACTTTTTTTAATTGGCTGAAATTGGAAGAAAATTTTCAACTGAATGGTAGTAAGAGATATTTCCTTCATTAGACATAAAACAGTGACATCTTTAAGTTAATAAAAAAATACTTTTTTTAAATAACCGTTTTGGAGTTTTTTAAAATTAAAATTGCTTTGAATATAAACACAAGAAAAAAATAAAGAAATAAAAACAATCATTTCTCTCTGTACCTGAAACAACTGTTACAGGTTCAGCCACCAGCAGGATCTTCTCAGCCACCTGTTTCTTGAAGAGCTCTGCAAGACGTGGGTCATCCGCCAGGAGCGGATCCTCTTGAATCTGAACCCACTTGTTGCTGGAGGTCGGTATCACATCAGCAGTTTCCAGTAAATGTTTCAACTGCCCTGCAAAAATCGAGTCCAATTCCACATTGGAAGCATCTGTGGGTTCTGAGAGGATGCCTCTCCCTTTCTGGCCAACAATGCCACTTGGGTTTTCCTTCTTTTTGCATTTCTGGCCAAGTATTTCAAAAATCTTGTAAGCATGGAGTGTGGCTGCGTGGTTGGGCACAGGGTTCTCTTCTGCTATTTCCTGTAGAAGTTGAACATACTCTTTCATAGTGGGGGTTTCCATGACTTGTAAAATACCTCTGAAGAATGCTTCCATGTCATGATAGACATGGGCCAATTCCCTCTTGTATTTCTCTTTTTGACCAGTCATTCCAGCACCTTTCCCCTGTGCACCATATTTCTGCACCAAACCCGTGGGATCATGCCAACACACCATCTTCAAAGGCAGAAATTCACCAGCTACAAATGCATTGGTCTGGTAAGTGGCGCCATCTTCATTAGGAACAAATATGAAGTCATTCTGACCAAACAATTCTTTCAGTTCATCTGCTGTATATCTACTTTCAAAATGCCAATACACATTCTTCATATGCCTTACTGTGGTGAGAAATATTTGGCCTTGACTGCTTGCCTCGGACCATTCTCTTAGATGTTCAAGTATGGCTTCATTAGACAAGAAAGTTTGTATTCCAAGTTCTTTGCACAGAGCTGATTTCAAATGAATCCCCCTTGCAAGATATGGAACATGCTCTCCTAGCAGACTTTCTATTTCTCTGTACCTTATATATATGCTGCTGCCATGCAGAAGTACATTTTCCATCTCTAAATGGTCAATGGAACCACCTCTATTTCTGTAAGCACCAAATTTTCCTTTCTCTGATGGTATCCACGGCAACTTTTTCACATTCATAAAAAATGACGACTCCACTTGTTTCAGTTCTTTTTTGTCCTCGTCGTAAACTGTGGCCAGTTTGTAATTGGCATACTGAGCCTCCCACAAGCCATCTAATGCCTGGAGTAGAACCACCATCTGCTGGTATTTGGCTGGACTGTCCACTTGGCTGGTCAGCTGGTCAAACTGTGGGCAAACCTGATCATCAATGTAGTATCTGCCCTCATATGCAGGGAACAAGTCCTTCATCCAGGCCCAAGGAGATGAATCCTGAAGGTGAATAAATTAATTCTAAATTAAACCAAACACTGAAAATTGTCAAATTCATTAATTTGTTTGTTATTGACTATGAAAGGTACATAATGAATTTCAAACCTTTGTATACATGTAGCATAGGTTTAATTTTTCTTGTTAACTTTCAAATATTGAAAAAATATTTTTCCCCTTATCACCAAGGCATACCGTATCTTAAACCATTGCCAAAATTACTATTTGTAGACTGGTTTTTGAATCATAAATTTGAAATAATTTATTTCAAATTACAAGCCACTCTCATGTGGAGATGGAGGGGAGACAGAGACAGGCGAACTTTACTCGTAACTGTGATAATAAAAAATTTAAAACTCTAAATCAGGTTGACAAATCATATTGTTCTCAATATTTTTAGATAAGTATACCTTGCTGACAAAGTGAAAATTCCAAGAATATAAAATTAATCTTTTAAATAAATCTTTCTGAAGGTCTTATGAACAATATACGCCTTTGAGTTCAGTCCAACTATTTGCTGTGTAGCAGAAATGTAATTTTTAATTCGATATTCATTATTCACATTTACCAATTCGCTGTGTTTTAGGACCACTTCTTGTTTGTCCACAGCCAGGAATTCCTTGACTCCTAGTGCCAAAAGAAACATCTTCCATTGTTGCCTGTTTGAAGTGGTCTGTTTGGATGACAAGCCAGAAAGGTCTAGGTAGGCACTACTGACAATGTTCCAGACAGAGTCTGTAAGGAGAAAATTTCTTTGAACAAAACACAATTTACAAAACTTATTATAAAAACATTTAAAAGTGGGACTGTCCTATAGCAATTGAAGGGTTACAGCAGACTGTCTACCTGGTTCAGAACACATTGGCTATTTCAAAGTAAAATGATTGCCTAGACAGTATCATAAACTCCCAGGGAAGAACCCTTGTAGAATATGAATTAGCAGCAATTTGAGAATACTGAATGGAAGAGTGTTAGGAAATTCATTAGGGTACTACACATGTTACAATCAAAAGGGCTGTAGTGCAGTGGATTATGCAATTTTGAGTGATAAGCTAGTTGATAGTGTAAAGTATTTCACTGTTCACCCAATTGACTATATCTCAGATCACTGTCTTCTAGATCTTACAATTGCAAGGAAGGGTTTCAAGGAGTCACCAAAAGTTATTCCCCTCCGAAAATTTAAAGTTCAGTACATCTGGGGCATCGACTCTGCAGATAAATTCCTCAGTGAACTGGAAAGTGAAAAAAACATAGAAGCCATATGTGAATTTCAAACTAGCACCTTCCTAACTACTAAAGAGGGAGTAAATAAGGCATGTCAGTCTTTAACTAAAATCCTAGATGACGCAGCTAGTGCATCAATGCGTACAAAATGACTGTCAAAGAAAAATGGTAATGAGAGAAAAAGGAATAAAAAACAGCCCTGGTTTGACAATCAATGCATTGAAGTAAAACGGAATATTAAACACCTCGGGAGACTACTCCACAAAAACCCGAATAATCACTTTCTCTCACACTTATCTTCAAGCTTGCAAAAAGTACAAGAAAACTTCTGAAAAAGAAAAAACAAGAACATAAAGACAACCTCCTTGAAAAGCTTTTGAACATTGAAGAAAAGAATCCCAAAGAATTTTGGCAAATTATCAAAAAACTTAAAAAAAGAAGAGGATCAGAACAACCTTATTGCCCCTGAGGTATGGCACAATTACTTCCAACAACTGTGTGGTATCCCGCCTCTAGGTGACAATGACATTGATGATGAATTGAAAAAATATGAAGATTGCCCTGGGGATCCCAAACTAGATGACCCTATAACCATTCTGGAGGTCCAAAAAGCACTCACAAAGCTAAAAAAACGGCAAAGCACCTGGGGCAGATAGTATATAAAATGAAATGCTTAAGACCGGGTGACCATACTTAACTGGTGCAATGACTAAAATCTTTAACTTGGTCTTAAACTCTGGTAAGATCCCTGATGCTTGGAATTAAGGCATAGTCATACCACTCTATAAGTCTGGTGAGTGTTTGGATCCCTCAAATTACAGGGGCCTTTGTATTACAAGCTGTTTGGGTAAGTTATTCAATTCCATTGTGGCAAATAGGCTAACTGACCTGATTGAAAAGGAAGGCAAACTTAGCAAAGAACAGGGTGGGTTCAGACCAAGTTCCAGAACAACTGATCACATTTTCACACTTAAATCAATTATTAATTAATAACAGATATACTAGTCAAAATAGGAAGGTCTATGCATGTTTTATTGATTTTAAAAAGGCATTTGATTCAGTGTGGCACAAAGGTCTACTTCTCAAATTACAGAAACTTGGAATAGGGGGAACATTTTACAATGTGATTAAACAAATGTACAAAAAAACTAAATTAGGAATCTCCACAGGCAACAGTTATACCAAACCTTTTTTTGGCTAAAATTGGAATCTGCCAAGGTGATAATCTAAGTCCAACACTCTTTAACATATTTTTATAGACGACATAAAAGAATCCTTCCATACATGTAAAACCACAGACAAGGTAGATGACATCAACCACATACTTTATGCCAATGAACTGGTCCTACTGTCGAGAACAAAGGACGAACTGCAAAATCTTCTGAACAAACAGAACAGTACTGTCAAAAGTGGAAGTTACACATGAATACAAAGAAAACAAAAATAATGGTGTTTAGCAAAAAGGGCAAACTTGACCATCAAACAAAATTTCACACAAATGATGAACCCATAGAAGAAGTAAAACAATACCCATATTTGGGAATTGTTTTCTCCAACACTGGCTCATTAAAGGAAGCAATTGAAAATTTGAAGAAAAAGGCCCTAATAGCCCTGTTTTCCCTTAAAGGAGCACTTGCCTCTCAAAACATTTCCAAAACACTTTTGTGCATGAGCTTATTTGACAAACTCATCAAACCAATTTTGCTTTATGGTTGTGAGGTCAGGTCACAGGAAATACTTAAACAGAATAACATGTCTCTGAAAAAGATTAATAAAATGCCGTTCGAACAGGTACATTGTACACTATAAGTTTTGCAAATGGATTCTAGGTCTAAGAAAGCAGGCTAGCAATACCATGTCTAGAGCCGAGCTCGGCAGGTACCCTATTTTTCCAACTATAGCCAAACTTGTCCAAAGATATAGTCCTAGACTGGAACAACTGCCAGATAATAGATTTGTAAAGCAAGTGTACAATCTTGAGCAAGATACAAAGGGAAACACTATTGTTGGGGTTTCTCCGAAGATAGCAACCCAACAAAGAAAATACATCAAATAGAAAATTGAACTTAAAAATCGAAAAAAACTCTTTTGGCAGGAATTAAATAGCTGGACCTCAAACAAATTAAGGACATACAAAACAATTAAAAAATCTTATGAATGTGAAAATTACATCAAAATGAGTGTCTCCTCCTTAGATATCAAAACACTGGCAAAAAGTGACCACGACTTGGCAATAGAAAGGGGCCGATACACAAACCCTAAAACTCCTCTTGATGAGAGAAAATGTAAAGCTTGCAACTGTGTACAAGATACACTGTTGAAAGGCAACAAATGCATGATGAGCTATTGAAAATCAGTGTGGTGGTTCTTTAGGACAGTGATCAGATATTGTCAATTCTCCTAAATCCACCCTGTGAAAAAAGCCTCAAAGTATAGCAGAATTTATAAAAAATGCTGTTAAAATACATAGTTCACCTACAATTTAGTACATCACAGCCACTGATTGTTGATAATGCTGTGAATAGCTTAACTAATTAATTAATCTTACAGCATAATGTGCATTAACATATGTGTAATTTAAGCATAATACATATGTAAACATATATAAATGTATATCCTTTATATATTGTGTAAATAATGTAGTCTAGTGAGCCTGCAAATGTATTCATACCATTAAGTGCTCAATAAACTTATTATTATTATTATTATACATGGACCAGTACCTTTAGTAGTTTAGGATGCCTAATTTTCCTCTGATTTTAATCATTAAATGTCACATAATGTAAGAGAGTTAAAGCTTGTACTAGTGCATACTGATACTAATGTTTGCATGTGCGTCGCGCACGCATGTGTGCATGCAGTCTCAATCAACCTACTGCTCTTTCAGATTCAAATGCTATTACCTGGAAACATGCTGGGAAGATCAAACATGCTGAGATATTCCACGGAAAGTTGTACTGTTGTGTCTTGTGGGTTGACAAAATGACCACTGGTCAATTGAACTTGAATGGCCCTCCTCACTTCCAGCATGTTCAAGGACTGCTTGTCACTGGTCCACTGCTCTTTGATCAGTTGAACGTAGGCCAGCAGCAAATCAGTTGACTTCTCCTGCAGACATTGTGGTGATAGAATAATAATATTTGTTTATTTCTAAGAGAGTTCAGAAATGGCGTAAAAATATTTCAATCTTTCAAATCAGTATGTGAATGGATGGATGGATGGATGGATGAATGACTAGGCTCATTGGTGACTAGACATAAATGAAGTCAAGGAATTAATAAAAGAAGTAAATGGCTATTCACTTATACATTTTACTTTTAAAGAATGAAAAGAAGAAAAAGTTAATCAAACAATTTAAATAATCCTCCTTCACACTGTGAATAAATAAACTTAAAGATAAGGTTTAGGCCAAAACAAAAATCAAACAACAACAACAATGCTAAATCAGCCTCATTATTTCACTTACTTTCCATTTCCCAGAGGCAAAGCATGGAAGGACATGTTTTTTGATAACATCCTCTGAACTGATGTGTTTGACACCCATGTTTTCTAGCATCCTCTTAACCGAAGCGTTCTGGACACCGTCCAGTGATATCAGGACATCTGGATGGACAGTAGGGATGTCCTGCTCTAAAACTGTCAATGCTGCTTGCATCGAGGCACCTGATCAGGAATCAATTCTTTTTTTTTTAATAATAATGTCATAAATACAGTTAGTTTATTTTTTACACATATTTTAATAATATGATTTGTAAATAAAAGAAGATAATATTAGTACCCTTACATGCACAATGTCACAATGTCTAAACTTTAACTAGAATTACATTACTTTAATCTTTTTCAAAAACTTACAAATAGAATATCTATGACTTTGTGGATGGAACAAACATTCAAATATACAGTAAATAAATAAATAAAACATCCACTGTAATAGCTTAAAATTAAACATCTGATTCATATGTACACATACTGGCATTCTTCCCTGCTGGAGACCTTTTTCCAGCTGAGAAAAACACAGTATTCTCTGAGAGAGCAACAACTGATCCATTCACCAATGGAATTATGGGTAGGGAGAGGATGGTCTCCATGGTGACATGATAGTCATCTGCTGGTGTTTTTTCAAGATGGTGGTAGAGGCAGGCAAGCCAGAGAGCAGAATCCAGGATAGTCAATTCTAAAATGAAAAACAGAAAGCAACTGTTACACTTCAGGTCTTGTCATTCTTACGCTTAACAAATACAAACAGTTGTATTTGTCTATATTTAATGTCCAACTATTACGTTTTTTCTTCTGTGCATTTTTGTACTTTAAAGTACAGAATCACTTCTTACAAAATTTAAATACAATATGTTAAATGCAAAACTATGGCATATTAAATAATGTTCTAAAAAACCCCATAAAATATCCATAACATCATAACATATCCATTCTATATGGTTGTCATCAGCACATGATATAATTAGTCTCCTTGATGCAAAAGCATCAGGCTAAGAAATATATATATATATATATATATATATATATATATATATATATATATATATATATATATATATACACATATATAAAGGCTCAAAAGCAGAGCATCAAAATTACCTCTCCCAGAATTAAGCTGATCCTTTAGGACACCTCTCAGGACCTCCACCACCTCCTTCACCTCAATGCTGCAAACCCCTAAGTTTTTCAACAGTACAGAGGATACTGACTTCTGCACGGCTTGATCCAGGTAATATTTGCCCAGATATTTCTGCAGGAGTTCTGGAGACACAATCTCTACTGTGCCCTTGTGTTTACACATCACAATCTCTGTTGGTGTTTTCCACTCTGAACCTACATTTTGAAAACACAATTGGACAGGAGTATTTTTGAGAAATCGAAAGCAAGTTCAACTTCAAAAATTTGAAATTAACTGTTATATCAATAGTGCCTCAGAGGCATATCTTGTGGTTAGGTGCATGTAATTACCAGATGGTGCTTCTTGCATATATTTTTTCAACTGCCGCTTTTGTTTTGAAAAGAGTAGATATAATCAGAAATCTATGGCTACTTTCCTGTACTGGGTGAAAATTGGTAAACATTATTTGGACTTGAAAGTAGTCAATTCAAAAAATTATTTTTGAGCTGACTCATTTATGAAGGGTGCTCTCTCTCTACGACTCTCTCCCTCTCTCTCTCTCTCACACACACACACACACACACACACACACACACACACCCCTACCTTCCTCTTTTCTCACAGGGAGGCAGGGCATTCCCTGTAAGAGCTGCAGAATTTGTTTGGCCACTGGCTGAAAGAAGTCATACAGCTCCCCCTCTAAAGGGACATGCTTCAGGAAGGCCACAACTGCACTGATCTTGTCAAACTCGGGGTGTTTCTAAAAACAGATAGCAACAACATTAAAGTTGCATATAAATATAGGTACGACTGACATGCATGCCAAAACACAAATTTAAAATAAGAGCATACTTAGATGTAGAAATGAATATGGGAGAACAATTAAATAAAACTCATACACCCAAATGTATAAAAGACATAATTATACATACATTTCCACACATGCACACATATACCAGTACATTAACACTAAATGTTTGGAGTTTGGGGACAGCTCAGAGTACTCTTGACAAGTGACACAATGCCGCCTGTGCCACTCTGAGACTAATGAACACGTCCCATGGCACATCAAAATATTTCAAGAGTGATAATTTTTTAACTAAGACTCCATTCCCATACCTAGATTGATCTAGAAGGATTGACCCATCACTGAGGGGTTTTCTCGCTAAATGGCACTCATCTTAAGTGGCTTTCATGTCTGGCATGCCTACTGAAACTGTTAGGGGGTAATTAACCATAGTTTAGCAGCTTCAGTAGCTGTGCCAGACATCTAACTTACTTCAGCTGAAAGTAATTTAGGAAGAATCCCCTCGGAGATGGGTCGATCTTGCTAGATTGATGTAGGTATGGGATGGGGTCTTTGTTTGTGATAAAACAGCTTTTGATCTCTACATTGACACTAACTTGGAAACAGTCCAGTGAGTCCACAAAAAGTTCTGGCAAATGACTTCTCAACCACTGGTTCCATTGCCTGTCCTGCAAAATGTCCTGTCTGGAAGCTGGGATTTCAAAATCACCTACAATACACAAAGATCACAGTGTAGAGTGACAAAAAATCTATGTGGCTCAATAATCCAGTGAATATAATCTTTGATGCAGCAAAATATGTGAAAAGATTTGCCCAAAGAAAAAACTATATGAATAAAATAAAAACAGGTGTTTTAAAATAATAAAATATAAATATAATGGATATAATTCACATTGTGGACGCCAAACTCAACCTCACCATTTCTGTGTGCGTGAGAGAGAGAGAGAGAGAGAGAGAGAGAGTGTGTCAAACATGATCTTACCCTGGACTACAAATTTGAATCCAAAGCATCTCAGAGGCAGAAAAGCAAATACATCTTGTTTTGGAGGCTGAAGAAAGCATGCAGATGTTTAAATTGATTAATAACAGGTTATTTAAAAAATCATTATTATTTAAGTTTCACTATATGTTCAATTTAATAACTTTAATTACCTTTAACACTGATGCCAGATTTACTTCAAAATGAAAGGATGGGAAATAATTGTGGGTTTAATCTTTTCAATACCTAGTTAGGAAATTTACTCAATATCAAATTAATTCAAATTATCTATGTCCTATTGCTGAGTATCACTTGCCTCGCCTTGTGATGTTTTTCCATCTGTCTGCAATGGGAAAGCTAAAGCAAGCTCTGTGCTTTCCACACTTGGGTTGAGCTAGATTATAAAACACAACATTATTTTATTATAAGGCCACACTTTTTTATTTTTATGGATGACATCCTCTGGGGACCCCAAAATCGGGGCGAGCGGGCGAAAAAAAAAAAAAAAAACACTCAAAAAAAAAACTTAAAAAAAAATAATATTAAAAAAAAANAGGTATGGCACAATTACTTTCAACAACTGTGTGGTATCCCGCCTCTAGGTGACAATGACATTGATGATGAACTGAAAAAATATGAAGATTGCCCTGGGAATCCCAAACTAGATGACCCTATAACCATTCTGGAGGTCCAAAACGCACTCAGAAAGCTAAAAAACGGCAAAGCACCTGGGGCAGATAGTATACGAAATGAAATGCTTAAGACCGGGTGACCATACTTAACTGGTGCAATGACTAAAATCTTTAACTTGGTCTTAAACTCTGGTAAGATTCCTGATGCTTGGAATTAAGGCATAGTCATACCACTCTATAAGTCTTGTGAGTGTTTGGATCCCTCAAATTACAGGGGCCTTTGTATTACAAGCTGTTTGGGTAAGTTATTCAATTCCATTGTGGCAAATAGGCTAACTGACCTGATTGAAAAGGAAGGCAAACTTAGCAAAGAACAGGGTGGGTTCAGACCAAGTTCCAGAACAACTGATCACATTTTCACACTTAAATCAATTATTAATTAATAACAGATATACTAGTCAAAATAGGAAGGTCTATGCATGTTTTATTGATTTTAAAAAGGCATTTGATTCAGTGTGGCACAAAGGTCTACTTCTCAAATTACAGAAACTTGGAATAGGGGGAAAATTTTACAATGTGATTAAACAAATGTACAAAAAAACAAAATTAGGAATCTCCACAGGCAACAGTTATACCAAACCTTTTTTTGCTAAAATTGGAATCCGCCAAGGTGATAATCTAAGTCCAACACTCTTTAACATATTTTTATAGACGACATAAAAGAATCCTTCCATACATGTAAAACCACAGACAAGGTAGATGACATCAACCACATACTTTATGCCAAAGAACTGGTCCTACTGTCGAGAACAAAGGACGAACTGCAAAATCTTCTGAACAAACAGAACAGTACTGTCAAAAGTGGAAGTTACACATGAATACAAAGAAAACAAAAATAATGGTGTTTAGCAAAAAGGGCAAACTTGACCATCAAACAAAATTTCACATAAATGATGAACCCATAGAAGAAGTAAAACAATACCCATATTTGGGAATTGTTTTCTCCAACACTGGCTCATTAAAGGAAGCAATTGAAAATTTGAAGAAAAAGGCACTTAAAGCCCTGTTTTCCCTCAAAGGAGCACTTGCCTCTCAAAACATTTCCAAAACACTTTTGTGCATGAGCTTATTTGACAAACTCATCAAACCAATTTTGCTTTATGGTTGTGAGGTCTGGTCACAGGAGATACTTAAACAGAATAACATGTCTCCGAAAAAGATTAATAAAATGCCGTTTGAACAGGTACATTGTACATTATAAGTTTTGCAAATGGATTCTAGGTCTAAGAAAGCAGGCTAGCAATACCATGTCTAGAGCCGAGCTCGGCAGGTACCCTATTTTTCCAACTATAGCCAAACTTGTCCAAAGATATAGTCCTAGACTGGAACAACTGCCAGATAATAGATTTGTAAAGCAAGTGTACAATCTTGAGCAAGATACAAAGGGAAACACATGGACAGAATCCATCCAATCTTTTCACTATTGTTGGGGTTTCTCCGAAGATAGCAACCCAACAAAGAAAATACATCAAATAGAAAATTGAACTTAAAAATCGAGAAAACTCTTTTGGCAGGAATTAAATAGCTGGACCTCAAACAAATTAAGGACATACAAAACAATTAAAAAATCTTATGAATGTGAAAATTACATCAAAATGAGTGTCTCCTCCTTAGATATCAAAACACTGGCAAAAAGTGAACACGACTTGGCAATAGAAAGGGGCCGATACACAAACCCTAAAACTCCTCTTGATGAGAGAAAATGTAAAGCTTGCAACTGTGTACAAGATACACTGTTGAAAGGCAACAAATGCATGATGAGCTTTTGAAAATCAGTGTGGTGGGTCTTGAGGACAGTAATCAGATATTGTCAATTCTCCTAAATCCACCCTGTGAAAAAAGTATAGCAGAATTTATAAAAACTGCTGTTAAAATACATAGTTCACCTACAATTTAGTACATCACAGCCACTGATTGTTGATAATGCTGTGAATAGCTTAACTAATTAATTAATCTTATAGCATAATGTGCATTAACATATGTGTAATTTAAGCATAATACATATGTAAACATATATAAATGTACATCCTTTATATATTGTGTAAATAATGTAGTCTAGTGAGCCTGCAAATGTATTCATACCATTAAGTGCTCAATAAACTTATTATTATTATTATTATTATTATACATGGACCAGTACCTTTAGTAGTTTGGGATGCCTAATTTTCCTCTGATTTTAATCCTTAAATGTCACATAATGTAAGAGAGTTAAAGCTTGTACTAGTACATACTGATACTAATGTTTGCATGTGCGTCGCGCACGCATGTGTGCATGCAGTCTCGACCAACCTACTGCTCTTTCATATTCAAGATGCTATTACCTGGAAACATGCTGGGAAGATCAAACATGCTGAGATATTCCACGGAAAGTTGTACTGTTGTGTCTTGTGGGTTGACAAAATGACCACTGGTCAATTGAACTTGAATGACCCTCCTCACTTCCTGCATGTTCAAGGACTGCTTGTCACTGGTCCACTGCTCTTTGATCAGTTGAACGTAGGCCAGCAGCAAATCAGTTGACTTCTCCTGCAGACATTGTGGTGATAGAATAATAATATTTGTTTATTTCTAAGAGAGTTCAGAAATGGCGTAAAAATATTTCAATCTTTCAACTCAGTATGTGAATGGATGGATGGATGGATGGATGGATGAATGACTGGGCTCATTGGTGACTAGACATAAATGAAGTCAAGGAATTAATAAAAGAAGTAAATGGCTATTCACTTATACATTTTACTTTTAAAGAATGAAAAAAAGAACAAGGCAGCAAAGCTGTCAAATGTACAGACAAAAAACAGAAAATAAAGATGCAAAAAAGGTCATTTTGTCAATTCTGATGCAATAATAAATAATGCTTATAATAGCACTGTCAGTCAACACTGAATTTTAATCTTGCACAACAGGTAACATGGTCAATAACAGGAGCGGACCCAGAGATATTTTCTGACAGTATTACAAAGTATCTATGTTGATCCATCCTCCATTTTGATGGTCTTCCAACAGAAAAAAATAGATACCAGTCAATATAAACTTAATAACCTGACTGTCTTCAGGAAGACCCAGAAGATGGTCCACCCCTTCAATAAAANTCACTTTCCATTTCCCAGAGGCAAAGCATGGAAGGACATGTTTTTTGATAACATCCTCTGAACTGATGTGTTTGACACCCATGTTTTCTAGCATCCTCTTAACTGAAGCGTTCTGGACACCGTCCAGTGATCTCAGGACATCTGGATGGACAGTAGGGATGTCCTGCTCTAAAACTGTTAATGCTGCTTGCATGGAGGCACCTGATCAGGGATCAATTCTTTTTTTTTGAATAATAATGTCATAAATACAGATAGTTTATTTTTTACACAAATTTTAATAATATGATTTGTAAATAAAAGAAGATAATATTAGTACCCTTACATGCACAATGTCACAATGTCTAAACTTTAACTAGAATTACATTAATTTAATCTTTTTCAAAAACTTACAAATAGAATATCTATGACTTTGTGGATGGAACAAACATTCAAATATACAGTAAATAAATAAATAAAACATCCACTGTAATAGCTTGAAATTAAACATCTGATTCATATGTACACATACTGGCATTCTTCCCTGCTGGAGACCTTTTTCCAGCTGAGAAAAACACAGTATTCTCTGAGAGAGCAACAACTGATCCATTCACCAATGGAATTATGGGTAGGGAGAGGATGGTCTCCATGGTGACATGATAGTCATCTGCTGGTGTTTTTTCAAGATGGTGGTAGAGGCAGGCAAGCCAGAGAGCAGAATCCAGGATAGTCAATTCTAAAATGAAAAACAGAAAGCAACTGTTACACTTCAGGTCTTGTCATTCTTACGCTTAACAAATACAAACAGTTGTATTTGCATGTCTATATTTAATGTCCAACTATTACGTTTTTTCTTCTGTGCATTTTTGTACTTTAAAGTACAGAATCACTTCTTACAAAATTTTAATACAATGTTAAATGCAAAACTATAGCATATTAAATAATGTTCTAAAAAATCCCATAAAATATCCATAACATCATAACATATCCATTCTATATGGTTGTCATCAGCACATGATATAATTAATTTGTCTCCTTGATGCAAAAGCATCAGGCTAATATATATATATATATATATATATAAATAAATAAATAAATATATATATATATATATATATATATATATATATATATATATATATATATATATATATATATAAAGGGCTCAAAAGCAGAGCATCAAAATTACCTCTCCCAGAATTAAGCTGATCCTTTAAGACACCCCTCAGGACCTCCACCACCTCCTTCACCTCAATGTTGCAAACCCCTAAGTTTTTCAACAGCACAGAAGATACTGACTTCTGCACGGCTTGATCCAGGTAATATTTGCCCAGATATTTCTGCAGGAGTTCTGGAGACACAATCTCTACTGTGCCCTTGTGTTTACACATCACAATCTCTGTTGGTGTTTTCCACTCTGAACCTAAATTTTGAAAACACAATTGGACAGGAGTATTTTTGAGAAATCGAAAGCAAGTTCAACTTCAAAAATTTGAAATTAACTGTAATATTAATAGTGCCTCAGAGGCATATCTTGTGGTTAGGTGCATGTAATTACCAGATGGTGCTTCTTGCATATATTTTTTCAACTGCCGCTTTTGTTTTGAAAAGAGTAGATATAATCAGAAATCTATGGCTACTCTCCTGTACTGGGTGAAAATTGGCAAACATTATTTGGACTTGAAAGTAGTCAATTCAAAAAATTATTTTTGAGCTGACTCATTTATGAAGTGCTCTCTCTCTCTCACTCTCTCTCTCTCTCTCTCTCTCTCTCTCTCTCTCTCTCTCTCACACACACACACACACACACACCTACCTTCCTCTTTATTCACAGGGAGGCAGGGCATTCCCTGTAAGAGCTGCAGAATTTGTTTGGCCACTGGCTGAAAGAAGTCATACAGCTCCCCCTCTACAGGGACATGCTTCAGGAAGGCCACAACTGCACTGATCTTTTCAAACTCGGGGTGTTTCTAAAAACAGATAGCAACAACATTAAAGTTGCATATAAATATCGGTACGACTGACATGCATGCCCAAACACAAATTTAAAATAAGAGCATACTTAGATGTAGAAATGAATATGGGAGAACAATTAAATAAAACTCATACACCCAAATGTATGACCTGCGCCGGGCCATCAAGCGCGCTAAGTTGCGGTATAGAGATAAACTTGAGGCAGACATCTCCAGCTGTAATTCTAGTGAGCTCTGGCAGGGAGTGAACAAAATCACCGGCTACAAACCTAAAACCAAACTCTCACCCACGGATGACACCAGCCTACCAGACAAGTTGAATGAATTCTACGCCCGCTTCGACAGACCAAATACTATATCTCCTATCATCTGTTCCCCGAGATAAAGAAGCACCCTTCCAGCTGTCGGAAGAAGACACCCGGCTTGGTCTTATTAGATTGAAAGTTAAGAAGGCGGCAGGTCCGGATGGGATTACACCTAGGTTGCTGAAATTATGTGCCGATGAGCTCTCTGGTGTACTGTGCAACATCTACAATTGGTCTTTACGCTCTAGCTATGTGCCAAAAATATTTAAACAATCTGTGATAATACCTGTTCCAAAGCGCACGCCTGTTACCTGTCTTAATGACTTTAGGCCTGTAGCTCTAACTTCCATTGTTATGAAAGTGCTTGAGAAATTTGTTATGCAACATGTGAAATCAAAATTACCGACGTCCTTCGACCCTTTTCAATTTGCATATAGAAAAAACAGGTCGACGGAAGATGCTGTTGCTATTACTCTACATAATGTTCTTACTTTTTTGGATCGTAAAATCCCTAACTATGCAAGGTTACTTTTTATTGACTATAGTTCTGCTTTTAACACGATATCGCCTTTTAAACTTCACGAAAAACTTATTAACTCTCTCCATTTTAGTAAATCACTAAGTAATTGGATTTTAAATTTCTTAATTAATCGTACACAACAGGTCAGAGTCGGCAATAACTTTTCCAAGACTATAGAGATAAATACTGGCACGCCTCAGGGCTGCGTCATTTCGCCTCTCTTATATTCTCTGTTTACATCCGACTGTGTGGCTTCGTATCCTGATTGCTTGATTGTTAAGTTTGCAGATGATACCACCTGCGCTGGCCTT